GGTCTAGACTTCTGAACACTTGAAGTGGTTCGAGCAAATGGGAAGGAAAGAAACGCTTAAATCTTTGACCACAGACCTTGCCTCTCTAGCTACATGCACTAGTAACGTTATTTTCTTTGCGGCATGGAACGTACAAAGACTAAGCGCCGTATTTAGGTGCATATCCAAGACGGAAAGCCATCTCTTTCATGAAGACGCGAGCGTCCATTGCTCCGTATCCACCGAGCTTGTCCACTTCTGCTTCATCGAACGTCTGCACAGCGTCACGACGAGTCTGGTCCTGGTACAAACTAGCAAACATGAGGCGCTGAGGGGCTTCATCCGAGTCCTGCTCTGGATACTTGTGGTCAAATTTCTTGTAGCTCTGCTGGGGCCGAAGCGGATGGGAATCCGACGGCTCCGTCACTCTCTGACTGGCAGTCTTCACAATAGAGACGAATACTTTGCTGCTGCCATCCTCTTGATGTTGCGCTGCCAGCTCCGACACTACCGAGGTGACCCAGTGGTCCTTGGGTAAGGATCCATTCTCGGCCACTTCGACGTGTACGAAGACTAGGGCCTTGGCGATCTCCGGGTCCGCTAGAAGCGACACGATCTGAGTCTTAGAGTCATCTGAGTCCTGGACATGGTGCACGGACGCCACTCTAGCGTTCTCAGCAAGTTGAAGAGCGGAATCAGACGCGCTGTAGAAGGAAATGGGCATCTTTGGGTATCTGATAAGATAACACAAGGCACCTATTTTTAGCGGAAAGAGCAATTGATCACTTTGGATACTTTTAACTCACGCGATAGCACCCTCGTCCCCCTGAACGCCCAGCAGCGCCGACAAGGCGCTCACCTTCAATTCCGACAGCACCAGAAAGCCATTGCAACCGCGCGCTGCTACGTCATCGAAGACTGGAGAAGTAGTGACCCCCTCACCGTCCAGGAAGACAACGAGGACCTTTTGCGAGAGGTAGTGTGCCGGCATTCTCAAAAATGATTTGGGTCATGGACAAAACACCGGTTTAATGTATACCACATCGTTTGAGATTCGATCGTAATTTAGTGTATAAAACATAAACGTCCATTTTCGCTCTGCCAGGCATCACAGACAGTCAACAATGCGGGACCTGCTTGGTCATCAGGAGATTCGTCTTGGCGATCTGCTCGAGTGACGTAGCTGGCCGGTGGTCCTCGTCACCGCCTGCGGACCGTATCACTCTTCTTTCTCGCTCGCCTACGCACAAGCTCCTAGACTGAAGATGGCGCCCCGCGACGCAACAAGCGAGAAGTCTCCGCTGCTGCCTACCACGGCTGCTTCCAGCTCTAAGGAGCCGGCGGTGGACGTCCAGAAGGAGTTCCTGGGCTTGTCTTCCATAGCGCTGCAAGTTTCTCTTGCCACCTTCGCGCGTATCGCGCTGTACTCGATCGACTATGCGTTCTTGGGGCATCTGGGCACGACTGAGCTGGCTGCAGCCTCGCTAGCATCGGTCTGGACGACAGTACCGCTGCTGACCGTGTGGTCCAGCATGTCGGCCATTGTGACGCTCTGTGGACAGGCCTGGGGAGCTGGCAACGCCAAGTTAACTGGTATCTGGCTGCAAATGGGGCTGACGCTGGTGACGATCTGCACTCCTCCGCTGATGCTGTATTACTGGTTCGTGGAGTTCGGACTGCGTGCATCCACAAACGATGAGGAGGTCGTACGTCTTGGTATCCGCTTCTCGCGTATCTTGATGTTCTCCATCTGGCCCAACCTCGTGTACGTCTGCTTGCGACTATACTTCCAAGCTATGGGAGTGATGATGCCTACGACGGTGGTGGGCACACTGTCGATGGTGGTGTCTGTCACGGCCAACTACTTTTTCATCTACGGTGCACTCGGCTGGGCTGGTCTTGGATTCGACGGATCTGCTGTGGCGACGGTGGCAGCCTCGTGGTTCCAGCCAGCAGCTCTAACCTGGTACTGCATCATCTACAAGAAAATGCATCTACAGGCTTGGGGTGGCTGGGATTTTAGCGAATTCACCCGCGAGCGCATGACTGTGTTCTACAATAACTCTGCTCCCGCAGCTGTCAACAGTTTGGTGTCCAATGTGGCGTCCTCGGCGCTTTCCCTTGTTGCGGCATGGCTGGGTGCTGATATCATCGCTGCTAACGCTATTGTATCGGGTTTCTGGCGCTTACTGTGGGCGCTCTTCTGGGGCTTTGGATCGGGTACACAGATCCGTGTCTCCAACTTACTGGGAGCTAACCGACCGAAGGCTGCCAAGACGCTGAGTATGCTTGGATTTGGATGCACCGTTGTCACTGTGACGCTGCTCGCGTTGATCACGCTTGTGCTCCGCGCCGATGTGTTTCGACTGTACACTAACGACGGCGACTTGTTAAACGTGTGCGTGTCGGTGCTGCCGATCTTCATCGTGGCGTTCATGGTGGAGGCGACAGAGATGGTTTTCGCCTCGATCCTGTCTGCTATGGGCCAAGTGCATATCACTGCGTGGACTAGTACACTGGCAACGTGGCTAGTGGAGCTACCAGCGGCCTACGTGCTTGCTATCGTATTGAAAGGCGGCTTTGCGGCTCTATGGTACTCGATCTGCCTCATGGAGCTGCTCAAGTTGGTCGTGTATGCGGTCGTGTTGCGTCGGATTGACTTTGCACAGATGGCACGCGAAGCTGTGAAGAACATGGAAGTGGAGGACGAGAAGGAGGAGGTAAATGTTGCAGTAGCCGAGGGCGGCACCACGGCTCTCGGTGCCAACACTGGTCTGCCGTCTCCTGTGCCGACTACACTCCTGACGCCCTCGGGCCTTGTGCATCAATGGGACCACGTGGACGACGGTGTTCACCCACACCAACACCACAACAAGGAGCAATCTTGAATTGTGAACGAGGGGATCACGAAGGACAAGTGAGATGAAGCACAGATTCAACGGTGAGAGAGGTCCATTTGCAGCCGCGTACGTGGCCAAGTGCGAGCAATGTGCGTACAGTAACGTTACAGTCGTAAATACACTGCGTGTGGATCAGGAGAGGTCCATTGGAATTGTGCCCAGGCATCTTGATTACTAAAAATCTGAGCCCGTGAACGTTTCCCTCGCCGAGGACCATTCGCTTCGAAGTTTGGCTTGGTTCGTCATTAGGTGATACAAAAACGGCCATCACTTCAATAACCTGCACAACATAATTGCTGCGGCAACATGATATCGAACTACACCTGACCCTCACGTCATTGCTCTTTTGTTGTACCTTCTATCGTTAATGTACTACCAAATCAAGTAACGCCCCGACTTTGTTCGAACGGCGCAAAGATTGATGTGCTTGACTACGTCCGAAAATGACTTGAACGTTGTATGGACGAGAGTGGTGGTCTCTGCATGATGTGTGTGCGCACTCGCTGGTCATTCCGCAATTTGACTTGTTGCGCCCGCATCGGTCCAAGGAGAAAGAAGACGAACCTTCATGGGGGAGACGTCACCGCTGCTCAACAGCGAGAAAGGCCGCAGCCGCGGCCAGCGTGCTCTGGCCAAAGAGGCGGACGTGGACGTGGCTGAGGAGTTCTGGGGACTCACGTGGATGGCACTGCAAGTGTCGCTCTCAACCTTCGCTCGTATCGCACTCATCTCGGTGGACAGTGCGTTCCTGGGGCATCTGGGTACATCGTCACTCGCTGCTGCGTCGCTAGCGTCCACGTGGACGAATGTGCCACTCGCTGGCGTGTGGTCTGGAGCGACAGCTCTCATTACACTATGCGGACAGGCCTGGGGCGCTAAGAACGGCGAACTCTCGGGCATTTGGCTGCAGATCGGGCTTGTTGTGGTCACAGTGTTGTCCATACCCGTGATGATCTGGTACTGGAGCATCGGATACGTGCTTGAAGTGTCCACAGATGACGCGGAAGTGGTGCAGCTGGGCGTGCGCTTCGCCCGCATCCTGTCGCTGAGCATCTGGCCGTCGCTGGTCTACGCCTGCGTGCGTCTGTACTTCCAGTCGATGGGCATCATGTCCCCCGTCACTGTTGTAGGCACGCTATCCATCGGCGTGGCGTGTGCTGCCAACTACATGCTGATCTTCGGCGCATTTGGCTGGGGAGGTCTGGGCTTTGACGGCTCGCCCATGGCCACAGTCATCGCTTCCTGGTTCCAGCCAGTTTCACTGATCTCGTACTGTATTTTCTACAAGAAGATGCATCTTCAGGCCTGGGGAGGTTGGGATTTGAGCGCATTTACGCCCGACAGACTCAAGATCTTCATGAACATCGCTGGACCAGTTGCTGCCAACAGTATGGTGTCCAATCTGGCCAATTCCGCCTTGACTTTAGTCGCTGCAAAGCTCGGATCGGATGTCATCGCTGCTAACGCCGTGATCTCGGGTCTCTGGTCACTACTATGGGCGCTCTTCTGGGGTTACGGCTCGGCTACGCAGATCCGTGTGGCCAACTACCTCGGTGCTGGACGTCCCAAGGCTGCGCGCGTGCTGGGCTTTCTGGGGTTCATGTGTACTGTTGGTACAGTAGTGACGCTAGCCATTGTGACGCTTATGCTTCGAGAAACGCTTTTCCGCTTGTACACGAATGACGACACGCTGCTGCAGTTGTGCATGTTGGTCCAGCCGATCTTCATCACTGGCTACATGATCGAGTCGCTGGAGATCCTCACGTCGTCAGTACTTGCTGCCATGGGTGAAGTAGCGGTGACTGCGTGGGTCAGTTCGCTCAGTGTGTGGTTTATTGAGCTCCCGATCGCGTACTTTGGCGGCGTCACTATGGGTCTAGGCTTCTCTGCACTCTGGTATGGCGTGTGCACGATGGAAGTGCTGAAACTCGCAACCTTCTCGTTTGTCCTGTCGCGTACAGACTGGACGGAGATGGCCGAGCGAGCAGTGAAGAACATGGAGGCCACGAGTGATAGTGACACGGGCGTGGAGCAGGAATCGCTGCAGTTCGCAATGACAGAAGGTGGCAACACGCCTGGCAGTTTGGCGCCAGTGGTTCGGTCGCCTGCTGCCCAAGAACTGATGACGCCGTCGGGTCGGCGCCGTCAATGGGACCAAATTGAGGACGGCACGTTGCTGCGCTCTCCTTTCTTCGGCCGCACGCCTCGATCGGACACTTCGTTCTCTCAGGCTTAAGAGTTTTGCTTGAGACGACGGTATTATATTAGCTGACACTGTGCTCAAGGTACCGAACGCTTCAGTAATGGTAGTTTTGCATTTCTTCTGCTGGTTTTTACTACGTTTTATCTCACTTGTTGAGCTTTGATCCGTTCAGTAGACTGTCGACTTCGTCGTCTTCTGGTGCTGGAGGATTCAACGCCACGAGCTCTGGCACTTGGCAACATGGACAGTGACCAGCCTTGAGGTACTCGAACTCGAAGTCTTCCTCGTGGAAGAAGCGACGGCAGTGGGGTGACAGGTAGATTTTGATCTCTGGGATCATGTTCTTGTAGTACTTGGGACGGATGGCTCGTGTGGGATACTTGACGATGAAGACCTCGTTCGGACGGAGAGCACGCAACGTTCGAGCGTCCAGTTGAAGGACGCGATATTGAGCCGCCCCTGAGCGATGGCCGACACTCGAGCCATACGTCGCCTGCTTGTTCAGAGCTTGCTCGAACAGATCCGTGCCGTCTTTTGCCCGGTCTTCTGCGCGCTCCGGTTCATCGTCATCGAGTTTCATGCTCTGGGATCCATTACCGTAGTCGGTCTCTCGCCAGCCATCGCCTGCTCGCTTATTGCTGCCTCCTGTGTCTGTTGGGTGCATCAAGATGAGTTCCTCCGCTTCTGCGTCCGAGAGACCAGGCTGAAGACAAGAAGGTGGTTAGTACGTCAGTCGAGTACGGAGAAAGACGTTCTTACCTCGGGTTGGAACTCTACAAGCGGGAGGTTCTCGAACGACACGAAGGAGCGCACGAACGGATGCCCGGAGTTGACGCAGACATCGCCAGTGTTGTTGGGGTTCAGCAGAGGATTCACCGTGGACGAGCGGTAGTCTACAGGCAGCAGTTCCTCGCGATCGGCATACGGTCTAGCTTGCAGTGTCATGGCAGTGCACTCGACAACAGACTGCCAGTCCTGTCTCAACTTCATCTGCAGCAGTTTATCATACGCTTGCCGTGCCAGTTTGTAGCTCTCCAGTTGCAGTCCATGATGTCCGAGTGTGAAGTAGATGTTGCAGAGAGAGATCCCAGGAGGAGGAGGCGCTGTCACCACGGTGTTGCCATTGCCTCCTCCCACTCTGCCGTTGCTTCCTCGAGCCGACAGTTTGTTGAGAAGGAATCGAGCAGCATGAAAGAGCGACTCTGGCAGTAAAGTGGTGAATGGCTCGTCAGTGAACGCGTAGATCATAGCGTACGCGTAGTAGAGCTCGGACAAGAGCTCATTCTCTGTCGCTTCTGCGAGTCGTGTACGTTGTTCCTCGTTCAGCTCCATGGGATCTTCTACTTGCTGCTTGGAGTCCAAGATGGTCTTCATCTGCTGCTCGCAGAGTCTCCAATGATAATAAGCCGCCGCACGGAATCGACGCTCACTGACAGCGTTGTCTATCAGTTGACAGAGCAACTTGCAGCACTGATCAGGTCGCTGCGCTCGCGTGTACGCTTCCAACGCGTCATCGAAGCGGTCCTGTGTCACCAGCCACTGCGCGTACGGCACAAAGACCTCATCCGGTCGACGAACGCTGTCTCGGTGTCTATCAGCCAAGCGAACTGCTTCTTCCCACTCCTGCAGTCGGATGTGCATCTGCAGCAACGCGTCGAGATCTCCGAGTTTCAAGTACACATCACGGGCATTGGCGAACTGTCCTCCTTTCAAGAAAAAGTTGGCAGCTATACCGAGTAACTGCGAGTTGGCTGCAACTTCAGGTCTACGTGTGAGCTCCAAGAGTTGATCAAGCCAACCGTGTTCGCCCAGGATCTCTCCAGCACGAACGTAATTGCCGCTCGCAGCGTACATTTCGGCAGCAGCTCGCCAGTCCTGGACGTCTTCAGCCCACCGAGCTTGTGCGAGCACGAGCTGCTGGACATCTCCTGCCTGTCGAGCCGTAGCAAAGCGCTTGGCTTCGTCCCACATGCGGAGATCTGCGAACATTTTGATGGCACGTGCTGGTTCCCCACAGTCTGCGAACAACTTGGCAGCCAGTGGGAACTTGCCCTGATGTGCCATGATCTCAGCCTGGAGAAGAGCCTTGACCTTCTTCCCCGCTTCTCCGCCGACATCTTCACCTTCCCGGTTGCTGCCTTCACTCTGTGGAAGTTGCTGCTTCCAAGTCTGCTCTAGAGCGTTCACAAGCTCAATGTAGCGAACGTCTCGCACACGGATGAAAGCTTTACGGGCGACCGAGAAGCGCATGCTCTTGAGGGCTTCCCACGCCAACAAACGCCAGTCTGCAGCTGTGACACCCAAACACGACACTGCGTAGGCTTGATCGAAGTTGTTCTGCTCCAGGTACCGATACAGAGGTGCAGATTGAGGTACGTCGATCGTTTGGACACTCAGCGCACTGAGTGAGAAGACCTTAGAGCCCGAGAAACCCACGACGAAGCCCTGCATCCGTTGAGTGTGGCCTGGGAACTGACCCGCACGGATCTTGAGCTGCCCATTACCGCCGAAACACAGCATATCTTCACACTCGGTGTTCCAAGCCACACTGTTAGTGGATCCTTCTTCAAACAGGAGCTGCTTGGTGGCCAAGTCGTACACTAAACACTTGTGCGAATCATCCACGACAGCAAGTTTTTCTCGGCTGGAAGAGCAAGCAATTATGGTTAGAGTATATCCGCACACTCTAATTTAACCGTAACGTACTTGGCGCTGATGTCGAGACAGGAGATTGGACTGCTTTGCTGGATGAGGGGAATCGGGAACGGATTATTGATGAAGATCTGCCACACTGAGCCGTCTTTTAATCCGACAAGAAGACCTTCACGACCAGGAGCACCGCCCGTCACTTTGATGTATCGGATAAGCGACTCTAACACCCACTCGCGCTCTTTTCGTCCCGTAAAGTCATACTGTTGCAGCTTTTGCTTCTGACACAGGATAAAATGCAAACTGGTGACAACTAACAAACTGCATGGCAGGTCCTTCGTGATACGTTCTTTAACGCGATAGTGCATGTCGTAACTGGCATTGGTCGCGTTGTTACCTGCGAGTTCATAGATGATGATTCGGTCCGAAAGCTGAACTGCAAGGCGATCACGATACACGCTGAGCTTCTTGACGCAGTCGCGAGTCTTGATTCGAACTTTTTGCTCCGTCATTAAATGCTGGACGATCACATCTGTAAGATGTTCGCGATAGGCGTAGCGCTCCTGGTAGATGCCATGCACAGTGCCAAATACAAGGCAGAACACGGACAGCGTGCCATCCTCACTGCCTACACCCACAAAATTCGTCTTCGGTCGGGCCTTGATTGCCCAGATCCAGCTTTCCTGCTCACAAATCCTATAGCAACCAGTCAATATTCTGCATTACAGTAGGGAAGTATGTGATTAGAGCATACCCGACGAGGAAAATGCCGTCCTTGGTATAGAGTCCAGCCTTACGATTGCTTCCGCCTACGAGGAGATACTTACCCTTACTACAATATTAACAGTAATTAGAGCACCATTAGAGTAAAACTGTAAAAAGGATGTGAACTCTACCTAAAGTAAGTGAGACTGGTGGGATTGAACGATAGTTTGCGAGCTTTGCCCTGCATGACGCCACTCGGACTGTAGAATGACAATGTTCGGTCCCAACATCCGACAGCGAGGATATCGGTAGAGTCATCTTCAAGTGCTGGGCTCCACGCCAATGCCCAAACTGGTGCACTCGATCGTTCAATAAGCCTCTTCTCCGCTCCCATTTTGTCTCTCAAAGTCACGTTGCCGTTAAGTAGACCAAGTGCCAGCAGCTGACCATCCTTGCTCCAACAAGCTGATATGATTTTAGCCACAACCTTGTGTTTAGCCACCGATTTTTGCTCCGGAGCCCAGAGACCAAAGTCCGACGCTGTGCAGCTTGCAAGACATTGCGATTGAGGATTGTAGGCCAATTTCTGGATACTGTCGTTGTGTGTGTACTTGAGGATTCCTTCGGCCTTGTCCGTCCAGATGATGACGATGTTGTCTGCTCCACCGGAAGCGAAGCGTTTGCCGTCGTGTGAATAGTCTACAGCATACACTGTCCCTTTATGACCCTTTAACGAGTGTAGCAATGTACCATCAACTGCGTCATATACCAGCACGCGAGTGCCCACAGCTGCCACAACTTGAGTTCCGTCAGGTCGAAATGCCAAATCCTGAACCACAAATTTCTCGCCATTGCGCTCAGGCACTTTGTCACTCCATGCCAACACACTACGCATGGCTCAGTAATGCACGATCGTCGATCTACACCCTCCGTAGCTGCACACTAACGCTCGGAAGATGCCAAGTGAAAAGTCGCACGTGGTGGATCTTGAAAAGCCGTAAATTTTTAATCTAACAATCTGCAAGAGCTCACATTAATTTCTAACGTTATTGTGATTTTCTAAGAAAACCACAATAACTTTAGAAACTTACAATTCGTGATTCAATTTTGTAGTTTTGATTTAGTGCACTTGTTTTTTAGCGAGAATTTATCGCTGCTTGGTGTCGAATCGACTGAGACTGATGGCAAAGGCTTGCAACATGGACAAGGGGTACTGGAAGTCCATGTTGAAGCAGTCCTTGCCGACCTTACCGAGTTGAAGTAGCACGTATTCTTGAGGGAGGGAGACGGTGCCTTGATCATCATAGACGAAATCAGGGTAAGTCTTGCGATACTGTTCACGCATTTGCTCGTTGGTCGGCTCGGAGTGTACAAGTTGAAAGTTTTTCACCGAAACGCAAGTTGCACGACTGCGGAAGTCCACGATGCAGGACGAAAGAGGGTCATACTTGGTCTCACGTTTGTGCAGGAAGACGAAATTGTTAGCGTCCATGACGTTCTGACCACCCTGTTCAACGCAAAAATATTTCGATTAGACTTCTGTTTTCGCGTAATATTTAACCATTGCCAACGTACCGCTGATGCGATGTTGCGGACGTGTTCTTCCATCATTTGATCACGGGAGAGTGGTCGCCACTCCAAGTAACTTTGACCATTTTCTTGGATCGCTGGGATCACCACCTCCATTTTACGAGGGTATGGCTATACAAACACCATGTGAACGACCTTCGTCAAAGGACAAAATAAATAATAGTAGTTACCTTTTTGGAGTAGTGGTACCGAATCATAGCAAGTTCAGCTCGAATGCTTTGTCTGACTTCGTCATCAATTTCACAATCGGAATCCAAGTCCTCCGGGTTGTCTCCTTGGTCGTACAAACTGTATTCCATCATACTAGTGGATGATCGTAACTTGCCGATATACTGGTGACTCCGCATCATTCGAGACAGGAACAAGTCATCCCTAAATGAAGAAAAAAAATGTTAGAAACTCAGACAAAAGTTACAGAACTGAAAATACGAACTTGTTCATGGAGATGACGTAGTGCGACGTAATTCGGCTAGTGGCTCTCTTCCTCGCGTACATGATCGGACGTCCACTGGAGCTGTTGACTTCGAGCAGTAAAGTGTAAATAGGGGCGAGCTTATTTGGTCCACTATCATTCCTCTCGATAAAGCACTTGACAATTTGTCCGCGACCACATTCGAGTGGACGCTTGACGAA